TTTGGCATTATGTAACTCACCTCAACATCACTTTAAGAGGTCAAATATACCAAATGTATTACCACTTTGTATTCATTTATTTTGATGGAGAATTTACAGAACTTCTTAAATTAGGTTGCACCAACAACAATGTGCCCAACTTCTCATACCACTTTTATGAATAAAAATTACCTTTAACAATTACTTTCACATTTGAAGGACCATCTTAAGTACAATGTGTCCAATAACCTTTTATACAAGTTTAATGGACAAAATTGCCTTCACATTTGAAGGAACATCTTAAGAACTCATAATGTTCTTTCTAATAATTACCACAATGATGATCATTAACATTTTACCATACCCATATTCATACATTCAACCACTTATCATTTTTCAGACATATTAATACACTGCTACCACGTCTGCAAAAGAGAATGGAGCAAATTAATTGGGTAATTTCATGAATTTCAGTCAAAAGTATAAAACTTTATGTCAGTCATCATTATATCATCACTATAATGCATTAGGACTTTAACCCAATGTCTAACCCATATAAAGATACATTTGGTCGTAAATCAATGAGACTTGAACCCAACTTCTTACTATCATGGTGCACCAAGACTTTAACTTAATGTCTTACCCACTTGGTGCGGTGAAACCCGAACTCACCGTCCTACCCTCAGCCAGTGCTTTAATATATCAAATGAATTACAAAAAAATAATTATCGAAAATCATAAATATAATTTGAACTTGACTTGATATAAAAGAAAAATGAACAAAATCAATTAAATAAAATAACATATTAGAATCATATAAAAGTCCCAAGTTAAAATAAATTCAAAAATTTTAATAGTCCCTCTCAACATTCTTTTGAAGATTATTATAATTTACTAACCAATTTAGAATAACTACAAAACAAGCTTTGTTAGTACAAATAATATGTTAATAACTCAACAAGTAAATGTTTAGATAAAGAAAAATAAAAAGGTGCAAAAGTAACCAACAATAATAATCCAATCAATATGCATATGTCACATAACTCAATAAAACAAGATCATAAAGAACAATTTCTTCACAAATTGTTAACTTACAAAACTAATTTTATTTTTTTAAATATATAAGTGATCAAATTAAAAGTTTGCTAAAAGTAAAAGCAACTTGTTGGACTCGTATGATTTTGAGATAGTAAAAAAATTAATGATGCATAATCAAAAGTAAAATATAAAATAAATTATATAGTAATTTACCTAGAGAGAAAAATAAACACAAATATTTTTACCTTCTTTATATTTTCTTTGCTTCAATCCTTCAATTAGTAGAACAATCGTGCTGATAACGTATTGTAAAACTAAAGCAAACTAACAATATAAAGATAAAGAAAAGAAGAATATACGACAAGAGATATAGAAGATGAAAACAATAGAAATAGGAAGACAAAAGATGAGAGCATTTCATATTCTTCAAAGTATTTATCAAATCTTCAAGCGTATACAATATGAACCCTTATGTCTCTATTTATAGTGTAATATAAAGGCATACAAAAGGTTAGTTATAAACATGACATTAACATGAATATAATGAGGGAGGTTATGGAAGGGAAATGTTACAAGAGTAATGATTTTAAAGTAGGAAATTATGGAGGTTGTGATTATCTTCATAATTGAGGAGGTTATGTAGTAACTTCTTGAAGTAATGGACATCCACGTTATATTATTTTATAACACTTTCTTAATTATCCAATGAATCTTTTCTCACAAATATAACTTATCAAAGTGAAAAAGGTTAGAGAGATAATTACAGGAGAGAAAAAAAATGAAAAATACATGACTTTGTGAGAAAATAATGGTGGAGGAGTAAAAGAATATTTATTTATAATGTAGAAATAGGACCAAAGTTCATTTTGATGATTTATGTGTGTGTATTTACTTAGTTTTTAAAATTAACCTTTTTAACACATTTATTTTGCTAGATATATATATTTGACGAATTTTTTTTTATAACAAGGGGAAAAGGTTTGATATATCCCTCAACTTTACCATTTGGAGTTGATTTACCCCTCGTTATGAAAATGTCTCATATATGTCTTTATTGTTATACAAACGGCTCATATATACCCATGCCGTTACAAAATGAGCTCACATATACCCTTCATTTAACGGAAGTTAAAAAATTAGTTTTAAATTTATACTTTTAATTTTAATTTTTTTTAAAAATTATTTAGGGGTTTACGTGATTCTTCTATCAAAGTTCAATGTATATTTTGATTTTTTTCATACATGAATAATTTTTTGACTTTTTTATTATAATTATTTGAGTTTCTTATTCTTATTTTATTTTTTTCTTTCATTCCTTAGTTTAAAGAATAAAAATTTAAACTATTTTTATCTATATTGCAATTTGATTTATGTATTCGATGAAAAAAATTTGGTCATCTACAATAAGTTTTACAAAAATATTAGTGAAACATAAATAATTTTGATTATCAAAATAATAATTCTAAATTAGTCATTGAAACAAAAAAAAAGTCAAAAAAAAATTTTTGACGAGAGATTAAATTTACTCATATGGGATTATATTTTTTAGAAAAAAATAATAAAAAATTAGATTAAAATTATTATTTTTTCATTTCCGTTAGAGGAAAAAAGTATTTGTAAGTCATTTGTTTATAAGTAGGATATACATGAGCCACTTTCATAACAAAAGATATATAACTCTAAATGATAAAGTTAAGAGGTATATCAAACTCTCTCTTATACCAATGAACATTCTATTTCAAAGCAAAAGGTCACAGAGGAGGACCAAACCTTACCTCTCATACAAGAGTAGCTAAAATGGTAAGTCATTCTTGCTATTTTAGCTTCCAAAAATAAAGCAAAAGAGGAAGATTGTTCCAAGTAAAATCAGACTTCCAAGAAAATCTAGGATAGAATACTTAGTACCATTGAAGAAGAGCTCAATCAGGGTCGAATATAAAAGTGTTTTTCCTTAATTTGATTTTAAAGTTTGAACGAGCTTCTTCATCATTCTTCATAGTGGCTACAGTCTTCGCGTGTAAGTGCATAGTTTCATTGAAAAACTAAATTAGCTGTAATTTGTTTCATGTACGCTATATTCAAATGTGATATACATGTACTTGAGATATATTATTTTCCCCTGTATATATATATCCATGTTTCAGGATATATGTGGTATCAAAAGATATATATTGACTTTCTGCTCGCCTTTCTCTATATATACTTGTATATCAAAATATATTTGACTTAAAACCTGAAGAGTGGTATATCGTACTTAAAATTTAATACAAAATTATTAATGAGAAAATTGTATATAATAGCAAACTAATAACAGAAAATAAATGGAGTAGCTAGGGTTTGATTTAATTGTGCTCCATTGCAAATGTTT